GTTTACATGTTTAATTTTTAATAACTCCTGTTGTTCTCGTGAGATGGGCCAATAGTAAAGAACACTCGGTGTAATCAGTAAAACTTGTGTGTCTTGGTTTTACGAATCATGGTGATAGTACCTGGCATTGATCTCTTTCACTCGGTGTCTTGTTTCATACGTGAAATATAAAAATTCTTTTGATAAACATTCTTCACTATTAAATAAAGTACAAGCACTGGAAGTTTCTTGTTTGTTTTTTTGCAAACTTACTGTTTGGATCTTGCCACAAACTTTTTATGTTTAACTTTACTATTCTATATAGAAACATGGGCACTTCTGGTTGTCCCTTTACTATTCTATATAGAAACATGGACAATTCTGGTTGTCCCTTTACTATTCTATATAGAAACATGGGCACTCTTGGTTGTCTCCTTACTATTATATGTAGAAACATGGGCACTCTTGGTTGTCTCCTTACTATTATATGTAGAAACATGGGCACTCCTGGTTGTCCCTCTCTCTTTCCACAGTGGTTAAATTAGAAGTTAAAAGGGGAGAAAGCACACTTGGTTTATTCTCTGTACAGACAGACACACCCGGTCTATTCTCTGTACGGACAGACAGAAACGGTCTATTCTATGTACGGACAGACAGAAACGGTCTATTCTATGTACGGACAGACAGAAACGGTCTATTCTCTGTACGGACAGACACACCCGGTCTATTCTCTGTACGGACAGACACACCCGGTCTATTCTCTGTACGGACAGACACACCCGGTCTATTCTCTGTACGGACAGACACACCCGGTCTATTCTATGTACGGACAGACACACCCGGTCTATTCTATGTACGGACAGACAGAACCGGTCTATTCTATGTACAAACAGACAGATATGCAGTGTAATATAGCTTTGAAACACTGTACCAAGTCCAAATGTTCTTGAATACAAGTTGTGATTTTTAGTGTGCCTCTGGTAAACTTTTATTCATCTAAGACAAGTATTTTTTAAACTCTAATCGTTTCAAATAAGGGGTTTTCTGTATAATCACCACATGGATTGTAGAGCGTAAATTAATTCACACCTATCATCAACTTGACTTTTGTAACAGGGCTTTTTATTTTTAGCAAATGTCTTGACTTAGTTTAAATTGTTTTAAGTTACTGTGGAGGGTCTTTACAGAGTTATGTTTTATTACATTGACAGCTGAAAGAAAACCTCCTTATTTCAACATGAATGCTATGAGTGCCTTGTATCACATAGCCCAGAATGATTCTCCTGTTCTCACTGGAGGTGACTGGTAAGAAACAAGTATTAAGAGCTCTCTTTAAGCCTGACTAAGTAGAGTGCTGTAATACTGATTTGCTTCAACTCAAAATTTTGTGGTATATGTACTTAGTCAACAGTTACATAAAGTACATTATAAATCTAGCCAATCAAAACATAAAGTACATTATAAATCTAGCCAATCAAAACATAAAGTACATTATAAATCTAGCCAATCAAAACATAAAGTACATTATAAATCTAGCCAACCAAAACATAAAGTACATTATAAATCTAGCCAATCAAAACTAAAGTACATTATAAATCTAGCCAACCAAAACATAAAGTACATTATAAATCTAGTCAACCAAAACATAAAGTACATTATAAATCTAGCCAACCAAAACGTAAAGTACATTATAAATCTAGCCAATCAAAATGTTAAGTACATTATAAATCTAGCCAATCAGAACGTTAAGTAGATTATAAATTTAGCCAATCAGAACGTTAAGTAGATTATAAATTTAGCCAATCAGAACGTTAAGTAGATTATAAATTTAGCCAATCAGAACGTTAAGTAGATTATAAATTTAGCCAATCAGAACGTTAAGTACATTATAAATCTAGCCAATCAAAACGTTAAGTACATTATAAATCTAGCCAATCAAAATGTTAAGTACATTATAAATCTAGCCAATCAAAACGTTAAGTACATTATAAATCTAGCCAATCAAAACGTTAAGTACATTATAAATCTAGCCAATCAAAACGTTAAGTACATTATAAATCTAGCCAATCAAAACGTTAAGTACATTATAAATCTAGCCAATCAAAACATAAAGTACATTATAAATCTAGCCAATCAAAACGTTAAGTACGTTATAATCTGTCATGACAAACCAAAAATGTTGTTCTTGTTCTTCCAACAAATATGATTGAATTGATAACAAGAAGGAATGTTTTGTTTTTCATGATAAAAAAAAATTGATGTTTAAAGACCATATACTTTTGTTAATTATCTTGAGATACTTTATATAACTACCAGTATGTTAATGAAAAATAAAATCTGGAAGAATGTTGAAAAAAACCCAATGTTTTTAGTGTCTGTGATCTATTATATGATTATACAGTTCCACTGACTCGATTGTATTTTTTTTGCAAGGTCTGACATTTTTAGGCATTTTGTTGAACTTTGTCTGCAGAAGAACCCGTCTGATAGGCTTGATGGTAGTGAACTACTACAGGTAAAAAGTGATACCAATAGTTTGATTACTAAGCTATTTTTTAAGAGTTAGACTAATTTATTACCCGTTAAAATTAACAAAATGAAAGGTAATTGTATTTTTTTGTGTGACTTATCCAGGTTCATATTGGTGATAAATCTAGAACTATAGTTTTGGGTTAGAGCTTCTGTCAGTAACGTTTTTCATCGGAGAGTTATTCAACATTTTTTGCCCTTCCTCCGACCATTCTTTTCTATGTACTGGTCAAAACTTGACAAACTTAGAACACTAAGGAAACTGGCCCGGCATGGCCAGGTGGATAAGGCGCTCGACTCACAATCTGAGGGTCGTGGGTTCGAATCCGCATCCAATCAAACATACTCGCCCTTTCAGCCGTGGGGGCGTTATAATGTGAC